AGTGGAGAAGGATAGAAATACCATTCCTTGAATTAGTTCATTCCTGATCTTTCAGCTGGTTGGAGAGGGTTACAGGATGCAAGTTTTCTATGCATTTTTTTTATTGTTCTTTGAGGTTCTGTTGATAAACTGCTTCTTTTATTCAAAGTTTCTTGCATAAGAAGAGTTGGAGAGCCAGTTGAGTCTATGGGTCAAGACACCAGACTGGAAAGCAGGAGTCCGTGAGTTCAAGTCCCATGAAAGCCGGCTGGTTGACTTTGGGCCAGTCATTCTCTCTCAACCCAAACTACCTCGCAAGATTATTGCTGTGGGGAAAACAGGAAGGGGAAGGTGCGCGTTTGATGCCTTGAGTCATTTGTAAAAATAATAAAGCCGCAATACAAATAAACAAGCCACAGCGAGTTGAATGGACCATTGTCGTTCTAAACTACAGCTTCAGACAGGGGTCTTCAAACTTGGCCCTTTTATGACTTGTGGACTTCAACTCCCAGAATTCCTCAGCCAGTGTGCCTGGCTGAGGAATTCTGGGAGTTGAAGTCCACAAGTCATAAAAAGGCCAAGCTTGAAGACCCCTGGCTTATAAGTTTCCAAAATTAAGTGGCTAAATTTTACATGGTGCAATATGTGGCTGTTTTTCTAGGCAAGGAAATGAAAAATTGGGGTTTTTGTAGACCTGGGTCAAGCAGGTATGATCTCCTTTCTCATTATAGAAAGCAATGAAATGCAATTTAGTTTAAGAGGTTTCAGAGGCAATAACCTTCACCCCTCCAAGCTTCAGGCTAGCCCTGATCCACCTTGACTGGCTGTTTCTGCTTTAAGACAGAGAACATCTGAATATCCATCAGAATAGAGCTGGAAGGGACCTTGGAGGTCTTCTAGTCCAACCCCTGCTCAAGAAGGAAACCCTATACTATTTCAAACAAGTAGTTGTCCAGTCTCTTCTTAAAAACCTCCACTGATGGAGCATCCATAACTTCTGGAAGCAAGTGGTTCCACTGGTTAATTGTTCTGACTATCGGGAAATCCTTAGTTCTAGGTTGCTTCTCTCCTTGATTAGTTTCCATCTGTTGCCTCTTGTCCTGCCTTCAGGTGCTTTGGAGAATAGCTTGACTCCCTCTTCTTTGGGGCAGCCCCTCAAATGTTGAAATACTGCTATCACATCAACCTCCTTCTCCTTCTCCTTCTCCTTCTCGTTCTCCTTCTCCTTCTCCTTCTCCTCCTCCTCTCTCTTTCTCTCTTCTTTTTCTTCTTCTTCTCCTCCTCCTCCTCTTCCTCCTCCTCCTCCTCCTCCTCCTCCTCCTTCCTCTCTTCTTTTTCTTCTTTTTTCTTCTTTTCACTAGACGTTCTCTAGAATACACTCTGCCCTTGCATAGCAATCTACTGAGAAGCCACAGAAGCAAAGGGATCCAATAAGAGAAATACTACCAATAAAGGAGAATATGAAATGAGGGGTCCTTGGTGCTCTCTGAGCTTGGCTGTTTTCTTGCAGACATTTCACTGCCAAACTAGGTAAGATCATCAATGCTAGTGTAGCTTTCTTGACCCCTGAAGAAAAAAAATTGTTTTGCTTTGCATTCAGTAGCATGGCCTGATCCTATTTAGTCCTCATTTAATGGCCACAACTGGGACCAGAAATTTGGTCATTAAGCAAGGCGACCACTCAGTGAAACCACAAGTGATCCAAGCTTCCCATTTACAATAATAACTTAGAAGAATTAATAATAATAATAATAATAATAATAATAATAATAATAATAATAATAATAATATGGAAGGGACCTTGGAGGTCATCTAGTCCAACCCCCTGTTCAGGCAGGAAACCCTATACCAGTGATGGCAAACCTTTTAGAGACTGAGTGCCCAAACTGCAACCCAAAACACACTTATTTATTGCCGGGTGCCAGGTAGGATGTGGTCCACTGGGTGGGCATGGCTGTGGTGGTCATGGCAAACTGGGTAAATGTGGCCAAAGTGGACGTGGTCACCTTGATGTTGCTTGTGGGGAGGGATGCCTGTGGGGACCAGGCAGGGTTGTGGAGATCCAGGGGGTCTCTGGCAGGTGGGGCAGTGGGCAGGAGGCTCATCCTGTGGGGTGAGTCGAGGCAAGGCAGGGAGGGGGTAACATTGCCAGGGGGCAAGGCGAGGCAGGGGCCGGGGCAGCTGCTGCCTGACACCATTGGCCCCTGCACACAGAGGCCAGCGAGCGCATGGGGGCCGATGGTGTCTGTCAGCAGCCACAGCCTGCCGGCTCCTCGGCCAGTGCACTCTGGGGCTCCGCAGCCCACCACCAGAAGTTCAGAGAAGCCGCCTCTGAGCTGGACAGACGGCCGACAGCTGAGGAGGCGATGCAGTGGGTCGTGACTGGGAAAAGGAGAGCATGCGAGGCCAGGAGGGATGGGACAGGGGGAGAGGGAAACCAGCCATGCCAGGATGTATCTGGCCACATGGGACCTCAGATGGCTGGCTGAAGAGGGATGGTTGCCATCTCTGGGGCATGGCACGCGTGCCCACAAAAAGGGCTCTGAGTGCCGCCTCTGGCACGCGTGCCATAAGTTCGCCACCACTGCCCTATACCATTTCGGACAAATGGCTGTCCAGTCTCTTCTTAAAAACTTCCAGTATTGGAGCATTCACCGCTTCTGGAGGCAGGTTGTTCCACTGGTTAATTGTTCTCACTGTCAGGAAGTTTCTCCTTAGTTCTAGATTGCTTCTCTCCTTGATTAGTTTTTATCCGTTGCTTCTTGTCCTGCCTTCAGGCGCTTTGGAGAAGAGCTTGACTCCTTCTTCTTTGGGGCAGCCCCTGAGATATTGGAAGACTGCTATCATGTCCCCCCTCGTCCTTCTCTTCATTAAACTGGACCCAATTCCAGCAGCCTTTCCTTATATGCTTTAGCCTCCAGTCCCCCAATCATCTTTGTTGCTCTTCTCTGTACTTTCCCAGATAGATTTTTCGGTCCCAATTTTCGGTTCATGGAAGTGAGTCACTCACTTCCAATTGTTCCAGAGTAGTTTAGCCATTTCCCTCTCCTTGTGGTGAAATCTATGTTGACTACCAGGTGAATTTTTAATCCTAAATAATGCTACCGTGTTCACAGGCTGATCCAGCAGGCCTGGAATAGTTGGCTCCAATAGCAGAACAGGTCAAGCCCTCTTGGGCGATTGCCTCAGGCTGTCCTTCAAAAGGACAGTGGACTGGCGAAAGGGTTATCTTTTTTTTTATTATTCCCTATCTGGGTAGAAAGTAAATATATCCCAGAGGGATATCAGTGGTTGAGAGGTGTTTCCAAAAAACATAGTCTTCTAGCTCTCCTACAAAAAGGAAACACAAGGGAGAAAGACCTGTGCCCGTTGAATGATAGCATCTGGTAATCTCTGAGAAAAATTGCTGGCTGCTGCTTCTTGAAGCTCTACGTAAGTTCCTACTTCCTGCTTTAGGGTTGAGAATCTTTCTACAAAGTCTTGGATTCCATTCAGGGGACAATATCCTACATATACTTGTATTCTGGCTTTCCTCGGTGAAGGTCCACATGGTGGTATGGACCAGGTTTAACCTTCCCTTTTACCTTACTTTAAGGTGGGCAGACACTGACCTTGGTTGAAGGACTCACGTAGCCTTTGTTTGTTGTGTAGATGGTAAGAAAGGGGTTTACTGTAGCTTCCAGTCTAAGCTTCCTCTGAAAACAATGTTGCTACCCAAATTCTGATCTTGAAAGCCAGGGAGATTTGTGTATGTGTGAAATGGGGATGACGATGAGTCCCCATCCAGTGTTTCAAATGATCTGGGAGCTCAACTGAAGGCAGGAAAACAGAATAACAGAGTTGGAAGGGGCCTTGGAGATCTTCTAGTCCAACCCCCTGCTCAAGCAGGAAACCCTATACCATTTCAGAAAAATGTTTGTCTTATCTGTTCTTGGAAACCTCCAGTGTTGGAGCACCCACAACTTTTGGAGGCAAGTCATTCCACTAATTAATTGTTCTCACTGTCAGGAAATTTCTCCTTAGTTCTAGGTTGCTTCTCTCCTTCATTAGTTTCCATCCGTTGCTTCTTGTCCTGCCTTCAGGCGCCTTGGAGAATCGGCTGACCCCCCTCTTCTTTATGGCAGCCCCTTAGATATTGGAACACTGTTATCAAGTCACCCCTAGTCCTTCTTTTCATTAAACTAGACATACCCAATGTCAACCAAAACAGGTCCTATACATCCCAATAATGATTTTTTTTATGAAGTAGCTTTCCTTACAGCTTGGTAACTACTAAGTCATTGACTTCAATGGCCAAACAGGCAATGAAGAAAAATGCAATTATTAGCAGGAGTTAAATTACACCTTAGGCAGTGGTGGGATTCAAATATGTGAACAACCGGTTCTCTGTGTGGATGCCACTTCTGAAAGTCCGTTCTGGGCCTGGGCAGCAAAAAATTAACTACCGGTTCTGCCGAACTGGTACGAACCGGCTGAATCCCACCACTGACCTTAGGAGAATGATTTTATTTCTAGACTTGTATTCTTCCCGTTATGTTTTTTTAAGCCAGGGCTTTTCAACCTTTTCACCCATTGTACCACTTTTAGGATATGGCAACATCCGAGTACCACCAGTCGCCTAGCAAGGTGTCAAAAACTTGATGACCAAAAAAAGTAAAAAAAAAAGTGATAAAGTACAGGTAGTCCTCGACTTACAACAGTTTGCTTAGTGACTGTTCAAAGTTACAATGGCACTGAAAAAAGTGCCCCCCCAAGCCACAGCCGAGCAAGACACTGATACGAACCAGCTGAATCCCACCACTGACCTTAGGAGAATGATTTTATTTCCAGACCTGTATTCTTCCCGTTATGTTTTTTTAAGGGGGAAAGATTCTTGAAACTGGTTTGTTATTGTTATGTAAAAGCTGGCACTATGAACCATTCATACCTACATTGTGTTCCAGGTCCAGTTTATTTCTGCCATCTCTTCCAGGTATTTTTAATCCAGATTGACCTGGGCATCAATCACCTTGTTCTCCACCATGAAGTCCCTCTTATTCTGTTGCCTCTTGGGCATTTACTTAGCTACAGGTGAGAAGACATTGGGAGCAATTCAAGAACCTTGCTTCAGACAGCAAGTCTCCAGGCAGGTCCCGGATGACCACAGAAAGGGGGGCAGAAAAGTCAAGATGGTGCCCACCACCGTGTAACTGAAACCCCACCCTTTATTTTTTGCATGCCTTAGAAACAGGCAGAGCTGGGATTGCATGGTTTTAGCTACTTTCTAGATTTATTTTTTGTCCCTCAGCCACCTCTGCCTGCAGAAGAAGTAGAGGAGCCCCTAAAACCATAGACTGAATTTATTCATTCCTTTTAATGTTAAGCCAGGGCTGTCCAGCCTTGGCAACTTTAAGACCTGTGGACTTCATTTCCCAGGAATTCTGGGAGTTGAGGCCCACCCATTTAAACGTTGCCGAGTTTGGAACCCCTGTGCTAGACCCACCAGGCCATCCTACACAAGGCAGACAGTGGGCTAATTCCATCAGCAAGTTGAGGGGCCTTGTCAAAAGTAGCTCTTGACTAGCAAGACATATGAACTGTGCAATGATGGCATGAATCACCACTTGAAGTGTGGGGTGGGGCAGGGCAGGGCAATCCCATTGAAAGCATCAAAAAACAAAGTTGTCTCTTCCTCTTCTAGGCATGTGTATGGAGTGTGAAGTTTGTGTAATGCCTGGCGAGACATGTAAGGGCACGATGATGACCTGTAAAGATAATGAAGATACTTGTGTGACGTTTCAAACTGAACTGATAAGAGGTATGAAATATTAAGTGTTCTGGGATGGACAGGCAAACAGAGATATAGGTAGACTTATAGCCATTCATTTACTGACCGTTTAAAATTGCAACGGCACTGAAAGAGGTGACTTATGACCCTTTTCCACGCGTATGACCTTTGCAGCATCCTCATGGTCAGGTGATCAGAATCCAGATGCTTGGCACCTGACTTGTATTTATGATGGTTGCAGTGTCCCAGTGTCACATGATCCCCTTTTGTGACCTTCTGCCAAGCAAAGTCAACGGAGAAGCCAGATTCACTTAACAACCGGATTACTAGCTTAACAACTGCAAGTGATTCGCTTAATAACAGTGGCAATTTGGGCTCAGTTGTGGTTGAGGACTACCTGCTACTTCCATCTAATGATCGTTCAGAGTTTTAACCTTCCAAGGAATCCCTGAATCGCAAATAAAATGCCTTTGTACTTTGTTTTTCCCCTGTGCAGCCCCTCTGTCCTTCACTTTCATTTCAAAAATGTGCAGCACGTCTGACACCTGCCATCTTGACTACGTGGAGACAAATCTACCTCATGAACTGGCAGTGAGGTCCAAAAGAGCATGCTGTGTTGGGGATGAATGTGATACTATGCCGCCTGTTGGTATGTAGCTCTTTTGAAGCCAACCTCGGCCCCAATGGACAAAGTGGAAGGAGGGTGTGAGGCGAAATCTAATCTCTGCAGGGCTGCCCATTTCTGATTTCAACTTTGTCAGAGCTCAGGGTTAAACCTTAAGCCTGTATCTAAAACTTCTCTTGATAAGGATTGAAAGACATTAGCTCATGCTGGCTGAGGAATTCTGGGAATTGAAGTCCTCTCATCCTAAATTTTCCAAGGTTGAAAAAACACTGTACTAGAAGATAATATGTTGTGTTTAGGCAGAGCAGATTCTATGAACAGCGTCTGAAGATATATTATCTATTGAGGTCACCTTCCTGGAATGGAATGGAATGGAGTGGAGTGGAGTGGTGGGGAGTGGAGTGGTGTGGAGTCGAGTGGAGTAGAGTGGAATGGAATGCAATGGAATGGAGTATGGTATGGTATGGTATGGTATGGTATGGTATGGTATGGTATGGTATGGTATGGTATGGTATGGTAGAGTAGAATGGAATGGAATGGAATGGAATGGAATAGAATAGAATAGAATAGAATAGAATAGAATAGAATAGAATAGAATAGAATAGAATAGAATAGAATAGAATAGAATAATGGAATGGAGTAGAAGAATAGAATAGAATAGAATAGAATAGAATAGAATAGAATAGAATAGAATAGAATAATGGAATGGAGTAGAAGAATAGAATAGAATAGAATAGAATAGAATAGAATAGAATGGAATGGAATGGAATGGAATGGAATGGAATGGAATAGAATAGAATAGAATAGAATAGAATAGAATAGAATAGAATAGAATTTATTGGCCAAGTGTGATTAGATACCCAAGGAATTTGTCTCCGGTGCAGAAGCTTGCAGGGCAGAAAGAGATGGGTGACATGACCCTATAGGAGGGGATTTACATGACTTCTGCTCTCCTTCTTGGATGGCAGAGAAATTCCTCTGTTTTTTTCACTGGGAATATCCTGCATGCTGTATCAATTACTGCTAGGATTCAGGCATTAAACAATCAGTTGAATTTCCAGTTGAGGATTTGAATCCCATATGATAATATCTGGCTATCTACAGCTGGAGATGCCGAAACAGGATGAATCTAGCTTGAGGGAATCAGCCAGCTCTTCCATGCTTTCTGGAAGCTTAAAAAAAGAGGGGGGCTCCTGGAGCTCTAGGGGAAGGGTTTTCCATGGGGCAGAGGCTGCCATAGTGAGCTTCCTAGGTTCCACAAAAAGACCCTTTTTAAGAGAAAGGATGTGCCTAGCCTACCCAATCTGATAAAGCAGGCAGTTAGGGAGAGGCAGTTGCACAAATCATCTTTTTGCTCTTTTTGCTCTTGATAGTGCTTGAACATCACGACAACCGTTACAATGGACTCCATTGTCCTGGATGCATTGGACTCGGCTCAACTGAATGCAATGAAAAACTGGTTTCCTGCCGGGATACTGAAAACCAGTGCTTGTCTATAACTGGGAAGAACTTATGTAAGAACTGGCTCCACTTAAAATTATGATTTGAGAGTAGGAGGCCAAGACTTGAGAAATCAGGATTTCAGAGCAGTTATTGGGAGGCTTCTTGAACAGAAGGAGCAGAAGAGATTCAAAATGGAGTGCATCCTGTTTTCCACACAGGGTATGGCTCTAACATCTCTAGACGGGTACAGTATCTGTTCTGATAAATAAGGGTGTCTTTATAGCATCCCAATTCAACAGCTAAGGGCAATGTGTCCATCTCACAACAATTAAAGGCCTATCAAAGTTTCAAAATAGTAATGGAAGAAAGTAAGATGCCAGCACATAATACCTTTTTAAAAATCTTGTGCTATTTTTAATTTACAGTTCAAGGTAGGGGGAATAGTAAATGCATAACAGCAGTAGATAAGCAGGTAAACTAGATAAGAGTCTACTGTCTCCTCCTCCTCCTCCTCCTCCTCATCATCATCATTTTTCTTCCCCTTTCAGTTTTTCCTGAAACACTTTGCAAGAGCAATCATTTACTTTTCCAACCACAATTTTCAATACTTTCTCCTTGCCCATTTTTGAAGGATGGGGTACTGTAGAGATGTTACTAACTCCCATGTTGGTTTATTTCTTCAGATTTCTTGGTCAATGATATATCTATCAAAGGATGCGCTACTGAGAGTTTGTGCACTTTACTTCAGAAGAAGATCTTCTCACCTATAGCGGAATGGGAACTAGATGTCAAATGCACTCCAGCTTTCCCACAGGCTTCCCAGTGATGTATAACTGCACGTCAAGGCCATCGCTTCCACCTTACTTGAGCTTAGGAGCCAACATGGCTGATTCTGTTTTAGTCAGCTTTCAACAGAATTCCTCGTTCTTCTGGATGTTTCCCACAATGAATGTGAAAATTAACTGAACCATAGTTCAATCAATAAAGCAGTTACTTTAAAAAGAATTCCATTCTGGTTCAGGGTTTGATTTGAGCGAATGACTGTGCTAGAAGCAGGTTTGGGGTGTCCTGTCATGACACCACTCAGTGTGGTGCTCATTTCCACTTCTGGACTGGCCCAGGACAGGAGAGGGCAAGTCAGGATACCTGCTGTTTCAGAAGGGCAGGAATGGAAGAGAGCCTCCTCAGAATACGCCTTGTCTATTTGGGAGATGACCTGATCCACTCTGGTTTCGATGTTGTATGTCACAAGTAGTGTGCTTCCCCCTTCTCCTGGTACAACCAGAACAGTCAAATCCACCTGTGTTGTTTCGTTCTGTCTTACACAAATGCCTCCATTCCGATTGGCTGTTGGGCGTGTTGGTGAACTCGAGGCCTCCCCAATGACTTCCTCTCTGCCTTCAATGGCCATGTTCTTCTGATCATAGCAACTGGCATTCATTTATGATGGTTGCCGTGTCCTGGGATCATGTGATCACTATTTGCAACCTCCTCACCCAGCTTCTGACAAGCATAGTCACTGGGGGAAGCTGGATTCAGTTAATGACCAGATGATTTGCTTAATAGCTGCAGTGATTTCGTTTAACAACCGTTGCAAAAAAAAAGTGAAAAAAAAAATGGGGTAGACAACATTAACAGCAGATGGAGTTGTAACCGGCTGACAAGCTGCACTCAACGTGCAGTCTTTAATGGAACTATATAAAGCACGGTTGCTGGAATTGGATATGTCTAGTTTAATGAAAAGAAGGACAAGGGGTGACATGATAGCAGTGTTCATTTGGCTATTTTTCTGGGTAAGGAAATGAAAAAATTGGGGTTTTTTGTAGACCTGGGTCAAGCAGGTATTATCTCCTCTTTCATTACAGAAAGCAATGAAATGCAATTTAGTTTAAGAGGTTTCAGAGGCAGTATCCTTCACCCCTCCAAGCTTCAGGCTAGCCCTGATCCACCTTGACTGGCTGTTTCTGCTTTAAGACAGAGAACATCTGAATATCCATCAGAATAGAGCTGGAAGGGACCTTGAAGGTCTTCCAGTCCAACCCCTGCTCAAGAAGGAGACCCTATACTATTTCAGACAAGTAGTTGTCCAGTCTCTTCTTAAAAACCTCCAGTTATGGAGCATCTACAACTTCTGGAAGCAAGTGGTTCCACTGGTTAATTCTGACTATCAGGAAATCCTTAGTTCTAGGTTGCTTCTCTCTTTGGTTAGTTTCCACCCGTTGCTTCTTATCCTGCCTTCAGGTGCTTTGGAGAATAGCTTGACTCCCTCTTCTTTGGGGCAGCCCCTCAAATGTTGGAATACTGCTATCACTTCATTCTTCTTCTTCTTCTTCTTCTTCTTCTTCTTCTTCTTCTTCTTCTTCTTCTTCTTCTTCTTCTTCTTCTTCTTCTTCTTCTTCTTCTTCTTCTTCTTCTTCTTCTTCTTCTTCTTCTTCTTCTTCTTCTTCTTCTTCTTCTTCTTCTTCTTCTTCTTCTTCTTCTTCTTCTTCTTCTTCTTCTTCTTCTTCTCCCTCTGCCTCTCCCTCTCCCTCTCCCTCTCTCTTTCTCTCTTCTTTTTTCTTCTTCTTTCTTTTTCTTTTCACTAGACATTCTCTAGAATACACTCTGCACTTGCATAGCAATCTACTGAGAAGCCACAGAAGCAAAGGGATCCAATAAGAGAAATACTACCAATAAAGGAGAATGTTTGCAACTCAGAGTTGAAATGAGGGGTCCTTGGTGCTCTCTGAGCTTGGCTGTTTTCTTGCAGACATTTCACTGCCAAACTAGGTAAGATCATCAATGCTAGTGTAGCTTTCTTCACCCCTGAAGAAAAAAAATTGTTTTGCTTTGCATTCAGTAGCATGGCCTGATCCTATTTAGTCCTCATTTAATGGCCACAACTGGGGCCAGAAATTTGGTCATTAAGCAAGGCGACCACTCAGTAAAACCACAAGTGATCCAAGTTTCCCATTTACCATCATAACTCAGAAGACTTGATTAACCTAACTTTCCCAGGTAGATTTTTCGGTCCCAATTTTCGGTTCATGGAAGTGAGTCACTCACTTCCAATTGCTCCAGAGTAGTTTAGCCATTTCCCTCTCCTTGTGTTGAAATCTATGTTGACTACCAGGTGAATTTTTAACCCTAAATAATGCTACCGTGTTCACAGGCTGATCCAGCAGGCCCGGAATAGTTGGCTCCAACAGCAGAACAGGTCAAGTCCTCCTGGGCGATTGCCTCAGGCTGTCCTTGAAAAGGATAGTGGACTGGCGAAAGGGTTATCTTTTTTTTTTCTTATTCCCTATCTGGGTAGAAAGTAAATATATCCCAGAGGGATATCAGTGGTTGAGAGGTGTTTCCAAAAAACATAGTCTTCTAGCTCTCCTACAAAAAGGAAACACAAGGGAGAAAGACCTGTGCCCGTTGAATGATAGCATCTGGTAATCTCTGAGAAAAATTGCTGGCTGCTGCTTCTTGAAGCTCTACGTAAGTTCCTACTTCCTGCTCTAGGGTTGAGAATCTTTCTACAAAGAGTTGGATTCCTTTCAGGGGACAATATCCTACATATACTTGTATTCTGGCTTTCCTCGGTGAAGGTCCACATGGTGGTATGGACCAGGTTTAACCTTCCCTTTTACCTTACTTTAAGGTGGGCAGACCCTGACCTTGGTTGAAGGACTCACGTAGCCTTTGTTTGTTGTGTAGATGGTAAGAAAGGGGTTTACGGTAGCTTCCAGCCTAAGCTTCCTCTGAAAACAATGTTGCTACCCAAATTCTGATCTTGAAAGCCAGGGAGATCTGTGTATGTGTGAGATGGGGATGACGATGAGTCTCCATCAAGTGTTTCAAATGATCTGGGAGCTCAACTGAAGGCAGGAAAACAGAATAACAGAGTTGGAAGGGGCCTTGGAGATCTTCTAGTCCAACCCCCTGCTCAAGCAGGAAATCCTATACCATTTCAGAAAAATGTTTCTTGGAAACTTCCAGTGTTGGAGCACCCACAACTTCTGGAGGCAAGTTGTTCCACTAATTAATTGTTCTAACTGTCAGGAAATTTCTCCTTAGTTCTAGGTTGCTTCTCTCCTTCATTAGTTTCCATCCATTGCTTCTTGTCCTGCCTTCAGGCGCCTTGGAGAATAGGCTGACCCCCCCTCTTCTTTATGGCAGCCCCTTAGATATTGGAACACTGTTATCAAGTCACCCCTAGTCCTTCTTTTCATTAAACTAGACATACCCAATGTTAACCAAAACAGGTCCTATACATCCCAATAGTGATTTTTTTTTTATGAAGTATCTTTCCTTACAGCTTGGTAACTACTAAGTCATTGACTTCAATGGCCAAACAGGCAATGGAGAAAAATGCAATTATTAGCAGGAGTTAACATAACACCTTAGGCAGTGGTGGGATTCAAATATGTGAACAACCGGTTCTCTGTGTGGATGCCACTTCTGAAAGTCCGTTCTGGGCCTGGGCAGCAAAAAATTAACTACCGGTTCTGCCGAACTGGTACGAACCGGCTGAATCCCACCACTGACCTTAGGAGAGTGATTTTATTTCTAGACTTGTCTTCCTCCCATTATGTTTTTTTAAACTATTAAAAGGGGGAAAGATTCTTGAAACTGGTTTGCTATTGTTATGTAAAAGCTGGCACTATGAACCATTCATACCTACATTGTGTTCCAGGTCCAGTTTATTTCTGCCATCTCTTCCAGGTATTTTTAATCCAGATTGACCTGGGCATCAATCACCTTGTTCTCCACCATGAAGTCCCTCTTATTCTGTTGCCTCTTGGGCATTTACTTAGCTACAGGTGAGAAGACATTGGGAGCAATTCAAGAACCTTGCTTCAGACAGCAAGTCTCCAGGCAGGTCCCGGATGACCACAGAAAGGGGGGCAGAAAAGTCAAGATGGTGCCCACCACCGTGTAACTGAAACCCCACCCTTTATTTTTTGCATGCCTTAGAAACAGGCAGAGCTGGGATTGCATGGTTTTAGCTACTTTCTAGATTTATTTTTTCTCTCTCAGCCACCTCTGCCCGCAGAAGAAGTAGAGGAGCCCCTAAAACCATAGACTGAATTTATTCATTCCTTTTAATGTTAAGCCAGGGCTGTCCAGCCTTGGCAACTTTAAGACCTGTGGACTTCATTTCCCAGGAATTCTGGGAGTTGAGGCCCACCCATTTAAACGTTGCCGAGTTTGGAACCCCTGTGCTAGACCCACCAGGCCATCCTACACAAGGCAGACAGTGGGCTAATTCCATCAGCAAGTTGAGGGGGCTTGTCAAAAGTAGCTCTTGACTAGCAAGACATATGAACTGTGCAATGATGGCATGAATCACCATTTGAAGTGTGGGGCGGGGCAGGGCAGGGCAGGGCAATCCCATTGAAAGCATCAAAAAACAAAGTTGTCTCTTCCTCCTCTAGGCATGTGTATTGACTGTGAAGTTTGTATGAGGCCTGGCGAGACATGTAACGGCACGATAAGGACCTGTAAAGATAATGAAGATACTTGTGTGACGTTTCAAACTGAACTGATAAGAGGTATGAAATATTAAGAGTTCTGGGATAGACAGGCAGACAGAGATATAGGTAGACTTATAGCCATTCATTTACTGACCGTTTAAAATTGCAACAGCATTGAAAGAGGTGACTTATGACCCTTTTCCACACGTATGACCTTTGCAGCATCTTTATGGTCAGGTGATCAGAATTCAGATGCTTGGCACCTGACTCGTATTTATGACGGTTGCAGTGTCCCGGGGGTCATGTGATTGCCTTTTGCGACCTTCTGACAAGCAAAGTCAACGGAGAAGCCAGATTCACTTAACAACCGGGTTACTAG